CTTTTCTGTCGCTGATCCACTGTTATGGGATCCCCTTCCTCAGACTCTACGAGAGAAACATGAAGTGACCGTCTTCAAATCCGAACTCAAAACGTACTTTTTGTTTTTACCAGGGCCTGACTGCCCTACATTCCATCGATATAAACCTGTGTGCTCTTGTTTATTTTTTTTACTTTCATTGTACTTTTTTTTTCCGTTATCGCCATGTACAGCCTTCTTGGGTTTGGGAAGGCACCTTGTAAATAAATTATATTATTAGCTTGTAGTATTAGTACGTAAATTACAGAAGTACAACACAGGTCGGAGCTGTCCGGAATATCACAATATGCAGAAAAAACGAAACGATCATTTTCTCTGTAAGAACCCCTTTTGCCACACTTTCAGTTCTGGCAGCTGCCGCGTCCTCAGGAGCAGGAAGAAACAGAGGCCCTTGGGAATCTGATTCGGACCCCTGCTTTATTCGCGTGTGGCCAGCTCCACAGTGCCCAGGCCAGTACAGACGGTGCTGGTCCAGTCGGGAAGAGGCCGCTGGCCAGAAGAGCAAAATGGATTTGCCTTCACGATCAAACAGTGCTGACAGGCCAGCCCCGTTTCAGGGAGAGAGACGGTTCTGTGTCCTGGATGCATAATGTCTCCAACTAGGAAATTCGCCATCTCTCCACCCTGTCTCTCGCCCTAAACAAGCTTCACTTCCTGCCATAAAATAACTAGGCAGTCCCACAGTTAAACACAGGGATAGAGTTCATTCCTCCCGGACGCTCCCTGGAAACCTGGAACGTAGGCGGAGGAGTGGAGGAAGGCAGTCTGGGTAAAGTTAACGATTGTCATTATCCCCCGCCCCCGCCCCCTCTGGATATTTAACCTGCTGCACATCACTCCCTGCCTCACTGGCAGCAGGAGAGCGAGCTGCATCTGGGACGGCAGGGGCGCCGCACTTTCTGACATTCTCCACCGCAGCGGGGCCCGAGAGAGGGGCCGAACTATCTGGGGTCCCAACCTGCGCGACGCCGACACTCCTCCAGCACTCCACCCCAACACCCCGCTGCCTTGCGCCTCCGAACTGTTCGAGTGACAGCGCCCCGTTCCGGTGGGGTTTTTTTGCCGCGGGCTGTTCGCGGGAGGTCTCCTCGCTCGCCATGTGTACGGGCAAGTGCGCCAAGTGCATCGGGGGCACCCTGTACCCCCTGGCCGCCATCTGCCTCATCTGCAACATCATCCTCTTCTTCCCTGGCTGGTCGACTGAATATGTGCAGGGCAAAGAGCACGAAAACGAAAGTCTGATCACCAACGAAGTCAAATACATGGGTGGGCTGATTGGCGGGGGCATCATGGTGAGTGAGCCGTGCATCTTCAGACAAAACCACATGTATCCCTCTCTCCTGAAGCCAGGTTCTTCAATGCAGTATTTTGTACCTTATAGATCAAGAAGAGGCTATGACAGAAGATCATGGGCGTCCAGCCCATTTAGCAGTTAGCAGTTAAGTAACTGGTGAATCACATTGCCAGGGAATTGGCTTTTTCCACAAGGCTGGGCTGCTAGTTGCAGGCTTCTACAATCCTCTGTGCAAAGGCGTTCACAGGCGTTTTAAACCCCCTTCCAGGTGGTCTCAGCTTGTTCTGCTTGACCAGACGTTAAGAGAAGACGCTTCTTTGTAAAGATAACCGCTGCTGTCATTACTGAGGACAGGGGATCGTATTCACACGTGATTTTTGTTGAAATGGGTAGTGTCATCTGTTTTTGCTTCACAGAACATACAACAGACATACCGACCAGCTCGCCAAAGACAGGGAAGTGCTCAGTTACTGCTCACAATCTGGGGAGAAGGCGAAGGAGTCTGTACGGGAATTTTCGAGCTGGCAATATGCCACAGTGAAGCTCTGATAAGCAGTACCAGTGTGTGATAGGGCCCTTTGTGAGAGATAAATAAAAGTTGGAGGCTCTGTTTAATGATTCACCCCACCCTCAGTAACACTGGAACTCTCTATTCAGATAAAGGTTTAAAGTGAACAGATCTAGTTAAATGTTGGTAATGATGAGTGATGTGGAGGACAGGACAGCTGTCTCACAGCTCCAGAGTCCTGGGTTCGATTGCAGCCTTAGTTGTTTAAAGTGGTATGACAGTAATAGAGTATGCTTAGAGTATTTCCAATTCAATTCCACTCCCTATAAGGGGCTTAGGCAGTTTCTCATGAAGATGCCCTGCGGTTACTGCTAACATGCAGTATCTGATTGGTTTCGTAGGATTCAGTAGCTAGATGGCAGATGGCAAAGTTCAGTTGAAAGGTACAGTAGGTGAAAGCATGGAATTACTGAGAGCTCAGAGTCCTGGATATGAAGACACACGGAATGTGTCATGAAACACAGACTGAAGTTGTACATTTGACTAAGCTGCGTTATCATCAAACTGAAGTTTAATGTCACAGTATTGAGATTATAATCTGTTTTCCAAGTGAGACCTCTTTCTCCTTTTATATCGGTCTGTTCAGATCTCGTCCTGTCTCTCTGTATGTATCCATGGTGCGTGTTGTGAAGATTTAAGTAACACTATTAACACTTTTGTCTTTATCAACACTTCAATGAGTGGTCTCTTTGCTGTGTGCGGGGCCCCCAGTGTGTGTCGTTTGTTATGGACCACGACTGACCACTACCTCTCTCTTCTTTGACACAGGTGCTGATTCCTGCCATTCACATTCATGCCACTGGGAAACGGGGTTGCTGTGGCAACCGCTGTGGGGTGAGACCACCTGGGGTTCTGAGACGGGGGTGTGGTGGTTAGGGCATCGGGGTTGTACCACTGTCAATGCCTTAATAGGGCAAACGAATACACAGGGACAGAGATGCGGGTCTCAGAATGTTAGCAGGCCATTATGCACAGTAAAGCTCCACCAGACACAGCTACAAAGCTGTTGAATTTGCAGGTTAGTAAGACTTTGACTAAATAATAACGTCACCCCAGTGTATGTTAACTCGTTAGATTGCAGTGTTTAGTCATCAGTGAAAAAAGAAACATTTGAGTTTTAAAAATGAGCCTTGATTTTCCTTAATGTTAAAACTTATTCAGTCAGGATTCATGTCTCATTTTCACGAGCCCTTAGTTATCAGTGAATATTAGAGAACGAGGACCACAGAGCAGGGCAAGGTGGAGATGTGCAACAGGTTTTGATGCAGTACAGTGGCTGGGATTGTTGGGCGGGGGATCTGCATATTGTGGGTCAAGCTTTTCTCCTGTGGCTCAGTGGTAGACTGTTGAGTGGGGAAGGATGGTCAGATTCTATTGAGAAAACATATTCATTCCTACTTTAAAATACCAGTCCCCTGTGGAATGACTGACCATTGATGAATATTTTTATTGCACAGAACTGTTGGATGCTAACCCCCGTCTCCCCCTGCTTGTCTGTCCTTGCGTCCAGATGTTCCTGTCCATTGCGTTCGCCACCCTGGGGGTCATCGGCTCCCTCTACAGCTTTGTGACGGCCACGTTGGGCCTGGTGAATGGCCCCTTGTGTGAGTACACAGAGAAGGGCCTGTTGGTCTGGGGCACCCCCTTCAAATCAGCAGACGGGGAATTCAAGTAAGAACCGAAACTGCTCCATTTTTCCCCTCACTCTGTCTCTCTGATCTATCTAATAAAATGGCATAAGGCACCGTTAAGCCATCCCGAACAACAGCACCAAACAAATGGACCCTTAGCCATCTCATCCAATCTGGGCTGGTGCTTTTAGGAAACCCTCATTCTGTCTTGGGGGCCCGGGCCGCTTGTTCTTCTTTTCTTTTCCGCGAACGAAACGCAACGATGACGCCGAAAGCAACGGCGGTGCCTCCGTGCGGGGGAGGAGTCCGCGGGGTCGTGGCGAGTCCGCGGGGCGAGGGCAGCCCCTGTCAGCTGACCCCCTCTGTGTTCCTCTGTCCCCGCTCTGCTCCTCCAGCAACGAGAGCTACCTCTTCAACAAGGAGCTCTGGAAGGAGTGCGTGCAACCAAAAGGCGTGGTGGAGTTCAACGTCATCCTCTTCTCCCTGATCCTGGCGGCCAGCGGGATCGAGATGGTGCTGTGCCTCATCCAGATGATCAATGGCTTGTTCGGCTGTCTGTGCGGCACCTGCGGTGAAAAGGGGGTAAGAGCGCCTCGGGTTTGGAGTCCAAACATCACCCGCCGTCATCATAAGCTGTGTTTGATAAAGCCCCATTGAAAGGTGCATTACGGTAAGAAACAAAGTCACACAATGAGAGGAGACAGCAGGATTACACAATTACAGTAAGGGTTTGGAAGACAGTAGGAAAGCAAAGAGGCAGACACAGAAAAGCCCTTCTGAAGAAGCAGGTTTTGAGTCTTGATTTAAAAGTGCTCAGGGAAGGGTACTCTGATGTCCTTAGGATAGAATTCCAGAATCACAGAAGTTTTGCTGGACTGGAGCTGGTGACCTCCTGGTCACCTGACTGACCTGCTCTTTGTTTCTTTCCCTTCCACAGCCAGTCTAAGCCTGACCGTGGTCAACTGTGGTCAGTTGTGTAGAGGGAGACTGACCTATCCAGAGGCCAGAGTGATTCCTATCAAGCCAAGCGTGGATGGATGATTATGGAGCACATACACACTCAGACTGACGATGTACCTGATGCAGTCCACCTGTTTTACTCGCTGTAGAAACTGGCAGCTCCATTCTCAAGCAGAAGTCACATTCTTGTTTTTGTATGTGTCCCAACTTTACATGCAGGTCGAACTTGATGGACTTTATGTACAGAGTTCGAGGTTCTTAGATGCAATGAAATTAATTTTAATACTATAGTGTTTTAAAAAAATAGTTGTATTTTTTTTACTACATTGTATTTTACTGCCCTCCTTTTCTTGAAAATCGACATAACTCTGTTAAGCAGCTTATAAAAGTCCTTAATGTTCACAATAAAAACATGTTTCTTTCCAGTGATTGTTGTTCCCAGTGATACCAGTAATGAAAACAAGTAGACCAAGCATTCGTAAGCGCGTTTATGGACTTTCAAGACCAAAAACAGAAAATTGTTCTTTACGCAGAGGATTGTGGGAGTTTCAGAATAAAAAAAACAGGAACTGGGTCCTTGAGGTCTTTTGACAAAGGTGGTGTGCCAAATTCGTACACGTTCAATGGTTAACCGAATGTGTTACACGGACCCAGATGCTTTCTTCCACTTTGTTATGATCTTATCATGTTCTTCTGATGAGAAAATGGTTCGTTTATGAATCTGTTTTTAATTTTTTTTGCTTAACATTACAAAAACACCCAAAGCAGTATTGCATTTACTTCAAGGAGAAACATTTTTTCCAGCGTCTTTCTTAATTATAGACATTGTTACTCACTGTAACAAATAGTGAAACAAAAACTAACGAATGAGATGATGATAATAATAATAGCTTACACTTATATAGCACTTTTCTGGACACTCCTCTCAGAGCACTTTACAGGTAATGGGGATCCCCTCCACCACCACCAGTGTGGAGCCCCACCTGGATGATGCGACAACAGCCATAGTGCACCAGTACTCTCCCCCAACACCAGCTCTCAGTGGGGAGGAGAGCAGAGAGAATGAACCCAATTTATAGATGGGGATTATTAGGAGGCCATGATTGGTAAGGGCCAATGGGAAATTTGTCCAGGATGCCCCCTGCTGGCCCCACTAACACCTCTTCCAGCAGCAACCTTAGTTTTTCCCTGGAGGTCTCCCATCCAGGTACTGACCAGAATTCTGTATGTCGTGGCCTACATAAATAGAGCACCTTGTAACACATAAACAGATAGATACTTTATTAATCCCGTGAGGGAAATTGCAGTACAACGGCAGTTTGGCACAGTCAACACAGCACAGTGTAACGAAATGATACAATAACACACAATACAGTAAATACAGTCTGTGTATAGTGCAGTTAAAAATGGAGTATACAGAATTGCTTGCATTAATGCAACATCCCCAGCAATAAAACAAAATATTATCTGATTTCCATGCTTGCAGTTCAAAACCGTTGCTTAGAAGACAGGCGTGTTTACGTGCGTTATCGCTCCCTGGTGGTCTAGTGGTTAGGATTCGGCGCTCTCACCGCCGCGGCCCGGGTTCGATTCCCGGTCAGGGAAGGAAACGTTTTGAATCCATATTCAAGAATTCAATATTACTCATCTAATGCATGGGTAGAATGACATTGATACTTCTATTCCATTCCAATAATGTATTGTAAAGTTTCCAATGAATGAATTACTGAATTGATCCTTGTCTAGTTAACCTGAGCACAAACGGAAAACCTCGGTTACTATTAACCAAGCGGCACAATGTGGGAATTCCTAAACTGGCCGTCAGGGGGCACCGTCGACGAAGATATGAAATTCGAATCCAGTTTGCTTTTAGATTTTTTTGCCCATCGAATTTGTTTTTTTGTATTCACAGCAAAAGGAAATACGTGCAAAAAAATCAAAGTTAAGTAAAACTCTCAAATTGCAACAACGTAATAAATATATATTTTTTTCTTTTAGGCAAATGGCAAAGTACTCGTGTTATTCATTGTCTCGCATTATTAGAAAATGAAATTAAATTAAATTTGAATTACACACAGCACCACTGTCAACAAGAGTGAATTTCCCCCACTTCGTCGTCGAGCTGCGATGGCCGAGTGGTTAAGGCGTTGGACTTGAAATCCAATGGGGTCTCCCCGCGCAGGTTCGAACCCTGCTCGCAGCGATGGTCTCTCGGTTCTTTTTTCTAAAATTATTTTGATGCTAAAATCCTGCGACAATAAAAACTGCAATAAGCCCTGAAATCATACAGAGCACATTAGTCTTGCCTGTTTTGCTTTACCAATAATTGTGCGCCTCTGCTTAGAACTCCACTCCTGTACACAGTGTGCTTCTGCTCCTGTAAAGTGTAAATCCTTCGTTGATGAAATCGGAAATATCTTAAAGCAAATGTTCATGTTCCTTGTGCAGAAAGAAGCAAAAGTAAAGGTTTGCATTAAAAACTGCCTACTGTGTAATGCAAGTACACCCTCTAAATAAATTAACGTAGAAAACTTCTACATCCCTGCTTGTTCAGAAGCATTAAAAACCGGTTTTGCAAGAATCCTCTCAGGCGTCACCTGAATTTGTTTACCGTCTGCACGAACACGCCTTTCGATGTCTCTTTGATGATTGCTAAACTCATAGTGACAGTTTGAAGATAATACTGCCGATATCGATATGGAATCTATATCGAAGAAACACTGTGATTGGAACACAAGGTTTACAGAAAATCCCGGACTGTTACAGTTAAAGTACAGTTCAGACTGTACGGTTTACAGAGGTTAAAAGAGATTAAAAGGCACCGCTGGGATTCGAACCCAGGATCTCCTGTTTACTAGACAGGCGCTTTAACCAACTAAGCCACGGCGCCGCACGATCGCTTTGAAATTCTTGCTTTTATTACATCATCGATTGATGACGTTGTTATGCTCTATTATTTTAATAATTGTTGTTGGATTTGTAATACAATACACACAATTCCTGCTCAAATTAGAATAAACATAAAATACTGGAAATAAATACAATTACTGATTAAAAGGCGTTATCCAGATCGTCGGAGAGCTGGGTCCCCAGCGACGAGGTGGCCGAGTGGTTAAGGCGATGGACTGCTAATCCATTGTGCTCTGCACGCGTGGGTTCGAATCCCATCCTCGTCGATAGCATCTTCCTTTTCCATGATTTACACGTTTTTAAGGCTTGAATTTTTAGAAGACTCTCGAGCGGTCATACAGCAGTATGTAGTGAAAGGACTCTTCGAAACAGTACTGTTATCCGACCGTGCAATGTGCGGTTCCATAGTGTAGCGGTTATCACGTCTGCTTTACACGCAGAAGGTCCTGGGTTCGAGCCCCAGTGGAACCAGTTGCAGTTTTGCTCAACACGTCTAAATTACAGCCAAACGTTAAAAGACGTGGCGATAAAACTGACGTAAACCCTGATTTTTATTTAGTGCGTGTATCTCGAGGTTCAGCAGACATTTTGCGGATTCAGGTTTCAGAAAGTGGAAACGTTTCGCGCTTCTGCGAACCCTGAGTTCCGTTTACTTAATCCTTCGCCTTCTCAAAGGTACTGCCAGCAAAACGTTTGTGATCCGCCACTGTAATGACGGAAACGATAACTTCTTACTATGATACAATTGTGTAAAATATAAATAAGAATCAGCGAATGTGCAATAATAAGTGAGTTTACCTACTACAATTAAGGGGGTAATTATATTTGGTTTGTTAAATAATTGTTAAATAATTGAGTAACAAGTGATCCAGGGCAGAGTTTGGGCAGCCCTGTCCTCTAGAATAATGGTCAGAAAGGTTGAAGGGGGGGTTGGCCCTCCCAGGGTAGTGGAAACACGTTTTACCACATTCAACTAAAGAAATGCGATGACCTCAGAACGAGAGAGACCGATACTCTTCAGTGCGGAGAGGGTCACAAGTTCATGTGCCAACGTCTGGCGAGCCTTCCACCGTCCGGCTGCAGACGGAAACATATGCAACACCACGGTGACTCCGCTCAGGACCTGTCGTCCTGCCAAGTTCTCCCAAAACACACCTTGGAAAGGAATCCAGTGAATGTATTTTTCCAGGGGTGCTACTGTACAAGAAACCCGCGTTTTGGCTGTGAAAGTATTCGAGTGGCGAAGCAGGGAGCACGCGCCCCCGAGGCGATCGATACAGTGCAGTACAGCCGCGCGAGAGGGCCGTACTTGATCCGGGGCTAAAAACACCGACCCTCCCCCGTCAATGGGCGCGTACGGTGACGCGCAACCGAAAAATCTATCCGAATACGAACCTTTTGAACTCGGTTATAAAAGGGTTTTCACAAAAGCACGATTACAAGGTTTAAGATGTCCCCCCCTGTTATCTCGGATGTCGTGGATTTCTTCTCGCGGTCAGAATTCGGGTCCGGGCCGTTGACCTCCGGGCAGCGTCGATACGAAGGCGTGCCCACGATCAACGGTAAGAGAGTCGACCCTGCCGTCGACGTGAACTCTGGCCAAGGTCCGCGAGTTAGTCCCCACCTCATCGACAGTGCCATCCGGCATCCGAAAGCTGTCTGGATGGTGACGGCTTTTCTTGAGAACTACATTGCTCCAATGAAGGTTGATTCTTCACAAACCTTAGCGTGTGGCGATTTAGAGAGGTGGAAAAAGCGAGAGAATTCAGGACATCATGTTCCAGATACAGCCGATGATGTTAAATATTTTTTACCACGCTGCGCGGTGTAAAGACGTGTGTTTTCCTGCCCGGCTTCCCCCGTGCGCGAGGAGGGCTGTTGCCCGGTCGACAGAAGGAAGAAGATGGCGCCCGTTTCGCGGGACGCACCGAGCCCAAAAATGACGGCAAAAACTGATTCACAGGACCTTTTTATTATTAACCTTGTCAGATTGACGAGCGGATCTCCGATTAGAGAAAGGAACGGAACATCTGACTGAATCAAATGAGCAGTTAAAACCACCGGAACACTCTCCGACTTTCTAAGCCTCTTGCGAGCGACCGTCGGGGACGGACGGGCAAAGTCTTTAACTGTGTACCGTGTCTCTTTAAAGCATCAAAACGTCAAGACCCATGAATTCCTCCAATATATAGATGATAAGTGCCTGAATTACATCACGTAGTGCTTATGAACAATGAAGATAGCAGTCCAGGAAGAGCCCTGAGGATGGAGGTCATGTAAAAGAAAACAGCGCTGGGACTGAAAAGTACATTTTAAAAATCTAAACTGTGTTCTTAAGGCTCGGATCAACACGGGGGGGGGAGGCATAAATGAGAAGAAGAAATAGACGTTTCACCCCATGTCTAACAGTGTATGTTGGCGTCTCTGCTCTGCAGGACAGACCCGCCTGAGTTTACTGAAACTCCTCAGCGGTTTCAAATTCCTGTCTCAACACCATTATTGCTCGCGTTTATCCAGACAGTGGTGCCAGAGAGAGAGAGAGCGCCGACGTGCTGGCGGGGATCCACGCGCGCACACACACCCCTTTGCGGGGCGCGGGCTTGTTTGCTCGTGCCCGGGTGTGAGCGCAGCTAATTACGATAGTGGCCAGGGCCCCAAATCCGAGAAGCTGCCCTCATTAAGACAATCACGGGAGAGAAAGAAAGGCAGAGACAAATCACAAGGCAAATTACGTTTTTTTTCTTTCAGCTGGGTGGCAGTGCCTGTGAAAGCCCACCCTCCCAGAGCTGTTTGTTTTGGGTTAATGTGCAGCACAGGCTGGGCTCTGGGGGGGGGTTGATGGGATACCGGAGCAGTCGCTCCTCTATGCCTGTTGCTGCTGCTCGGGCTGTGGCCTCTGCACGGTCCACTCGCGCTTGTTCAGCACGGCGTAGCTGTAGGTCTTGTAGTTGAGCAGGTCCTGCGCGCGGAAGGCCTTGTTGGCCTCGTACAGCCTCTTCCAGTACGGGGGCAGGGGTGGGAAGCCGGCCAGCTGGGCCAGCTCGTCGTTGTAGTCCCACTGCTCCGAGTCCAGCTTCAGGATGTGGCGGGTGGCGATGCCACGCCGGCGCCGGGACTCGATCTCCGCCGTCATCTCCCGCTCCATCTCCTCCCGGCTGGGCAGGGGGCAGGACCCGTCCAGCACTGACAGCACGTACTGCGTCTGGGGACAGAGGCGAGAGCAGGTGGGCTCAGCGCGATCTTTCTGCAAGAACGCAACACAGTGGCTCCCACACGGGACAAACACCCCACAGGGGATGTAAAAGCACAAGTGGAAACATGTCACTTTAAAAATCAGACTTAGATTGAAGTAGGACATATATCTATATTACACATTTCCTGCACTGCAATATTGCTACTGAACCACACTATGGCAGATAATAGAGTAATTGCTGTTAATTTAGCCATTGCCACAATACATGGTACAACAGAATAAAGGTAACTTGCTTTAACACAAATTGATTTCTTTCTTTGCGAGAGTTTGTAAGAGCTAGGAAGCCCTTGCAGTGTGTAGCTCTCCTTGTTGAGCTCAATGAAAGTGAATCTGCGCAAGACTGTGTCCTGCTCCTCTGACCAAGATCTAACTCGACCAGCACGATACCAGAGCCTCAGCCTGGCACACTGTGCCCACCTGCACACCTCCCCATGTGCTCTGTTTCCTGCTCGTCTGTTAAAGGGGTGCTGCAGTCCCAATTAAATCTCAGTAACAAAATAAATTATTTGACATCACAGAAGGAAAAAAATGACAAACTTTGATTTAAGCACAAAAATTGTGAACTTTGTGAAAGCACTGTACGTCACCGTCTTGTCGTAAACCACTGGTCTCGTTACGGGCGAGAGTGAGAGTCCGCGAGGACTGCAACATGAGGCGGCCCTTCCTGCTCCCTAGTCACTGTCATGACCAATGTAATGGGATGAACAAGCAAATAAGTACAGGTTGTGCAGCAGATACTTCATTGCAGAAGTGTTCCAACGTGATCTGCATGCAGAGTTAACAAGCAAGTAGTATTTGTCAGCAAAACCCTCTCAAGGGCGAGAGCAATATCACTACTGGATTAAACGAGATGTAGTCACAAGCCTGCTTGCTCAGAATGTCAGAGGGCAACCAGAAGTTTTGTTGGCCCATTCTGAATCGCAGAAAATGACGCTCTGCACACCTGGAAATGTTGTCTATTTTGTGATGTACAGTAAATTCAAGGTTTTACAATTGCAGTTCCCCTTCAAGGTGGCACTGACCTGGCAGTGGAAGTGTGGGAAGGGGCAGATGGCTCGGCAGATGCCCACGATGAAGAGGGATGGGTAGGCCGGGTGCAGCAGGAACTTATACAGGGGGGTGACCAGGTGGTCTTGAACCCGCAGCCCCAGCTCCGGCGCCGCGGCCAGGAAAGGGTAGGTGAAGTTGTAGCCCGTGCAGAGCAGGAAGACCTCGGGCCGGGCCAGCTCACCGTCCCGGAACTGCAGCGCCCCGTCGGGCAACACCTTCTCCACGGAGGGAGCCTGGCGCACGCCTGGGGGCAGGCGGCAGGTGAGGGGGCGGTTCCCGTGGCTGAGGGTCACCTGGGCGTCCACCTTGGACAGCTCCACCGCGATGTCCAGCCCCGACAGCCCGGCCCCCAGCAGGACCACAGATTTCCCAGCCAGGGGCTCGGCACAGCGGTAGTCATGACTGTGCATCAGCGTCCCTGTGAAGGAGCCAGAGAGGGCAGTCAGATCTGCCTCGTACCTGTCTTCAACACCTGAGGGGGTTGCATGCACGAAACAAGCCAGTACAAACACAGTGCAGTACAAGCCAAACAAGTTCAGGGGGGTCAATGCATGAAATTATACAGTAGCTGTAGTTCAGGGAGTTCAATGCATGAAATGATAGCTGTAGTTCATAGGGCTCATTGCATGAAGTGATAGCTCTACTATCAGGGTGTCAATACATGAAATGATACACTAGCTGTAGTTCAGGGAGTTCAATGCATGAAATGATAGCTGTAGTTCATGGGGCTCAATGCATGAAGTGACAGCTCTACTATCAGGGGGTCAATGCATGAAATGATACCTCTATACAGTATATGCACTGATTTTGCAGTGGAAGGTATAGGAGTCCCATTGCTATGTGTTGCAAACCTCCTGCATCGCAGATGGGACCTCACTTCCAGTCAGCCTCACCTCAGTCTACGGACTCCACTCCATCGGCGTGAGCACCAGCTCCTTACTTTAAACTGCTCCTGATGTGAAACTGAATCCGTGCAACAGGCCCCGAGCCCGGAGACCAGTGGCCCTTGGACGGCACTATCGAAACGCCCGCAGCATTAACACAGACATGGAGTTTGGCTACAGTGGGTTTCCAATAATCAATCCCTCTGCGCTGAGCAAGCAAGTCATGTTTGTTCAGCCTTGCTAGACGCCAGTTGTGATGTTTTTGTCTTTATCTCCTCTTTCAGTTTTGGAAATTGCATAAACATGCTCCTGAGTCATTGCCTCAGTTTCTTCATCTCTGAGCTAATGCAGGGGGCTCTTTGCCCAGCAGTACATCTGTGTCTGTGTCTGCAGAGGCTAGAGACTCAGAGGTTCGGCCAGTGGAACTGTATTGGAATGTCTCATCCCAGTAAACCCTATTCCTAATCATGGCGTTCGACAGAATACAAATCACTTGTCTGATTGTGAAGCTCACCAACTCGTTCCATTACAAGGTTTTATTCTGTTCATTCCAAGAACATGTTTTAATTACTGTAAATGATTTTCAGCATCCTGCTGGTCCATTATGCCTCTAGCCAGTGTACCAGTTAAAGTTTTGATCAACTAAGAAATAACGCTAATCGATAGATGGTGGAGGTGTGGTAGAAGCAGGCTGAATAACAGTAGTTGTGGACCGTGTGATCTGTCTGTTACTGAACATTAAATCAGACATGTGAGCTTTAAAAGAACTGAGCTGGAAAAAGAGAGGTTTACCTTTAAAGTTCTCCAGACCGGGGATGGGTGGAATATAGGGATCATAAAAGTGCCTGGAAAACACACATGCGCAGACACTCAGGAAGGGGCCAGTAGACAAGGCAGAGGAGGGGACGTACAGAGTTAAGGGACTATGGAGAACTAGACCCAGCTGGACTGGAAGGCCTGATCAAACCCTTGGCCTTTTTAAACTGGATGTGATCCTTCTAAAAACACAGGATGGGATAGGGCTGCATATTTCAGAACATGGAGGAATATGTACTCTGTTAAATATTCTGTTAAATGTGTGCTAAAGGCCCAACAATTCCTGGTAGTCTTTTCTAGTATTTTGATCAGGAAAACGTTAAAGACACAACAGAAATATTCACTATAGCAAGTCAGTGAGAGCAAATGGCGAGATAGTGGGGAGGGGAGGGGATCTGTGTACTATCAGTGTACCCATGTACAGATGGCTGTGTACTATGAACATGCCTG